GATGCTCACAGCCACATGGTCCATAATAGCCAAAAAGTGGAATTAGCCCAGTGCTCATCCATGGAGGAATGGATAAAAATGGGGTATGTCTGTAAAACAGGATACTCTTCAGTGCTACGAGGGAATGGAGCGCTGACGCAGGCTACGTCACAGGGGAACCGCAAAAACGCCGTGCTGAGTGGAAGCAGCCAGACACGAGGGACTGCAGAGTGTGTGATCCCATTTCTACAAAATGTCCATGGCTGTGTAATATTCCACTGCATGGATATACTGAGGTCTGTTCATCCACTCATTGGCAGATGGACGTTTGGATGGTTTCCTCCCTCTGGCTGCTGTGAATCATGCTGCTGTAAGCTTCCTGTGGACATGTTTTCAGTCCTCTTGGGCGTCCACCTTTGATGGAACTGCTGAACCATGAGGTTAACTCCACATTTAACTTTCTGATGAACCACCAAACCGGTTTCCATCTCACAGTCCCACCAGCTTATGAGGGCTCCAAGTTCTCCACATCCGAACACTTGCTGTTGTCTTCTTAATTCTAGCCATCCTGGTGGGGGTGAGGTGGCAACTCATGGTGGTTGGGTTTGCATTTCCTTGATGACTTGATTTTGAACAGCTTTTCATGTGCTTATTGGCCATTTGTAGGTCTTCTCTAAAGAAACGTCTCCTCAAAATCTGTCCAATTTTTAACAGGGTTATGTCTTTTTACTGAATTCTAAGAGTTCTTGATGTATTCTGTCTGCCAGACTCTTCTCTGATTTACAAATATTTTCTCTTATTCTCTGGGTTGGCTTTTCACTTTCCCAGTAGCATCCTTTAAAGTACAAGCACCTTTAATACTGATGAAGTCCAATTCATCTTTTTTTTTGCGGGGGTCGGGGGGAGGTTGCTGTGGTTTGGTGTTGTATCTAAAAAAACATTGCCTGATGCAAGGTCATGAGTTACATCTGTTTCCTTCTAGTTTTTTGTTTTAGCTCTTTAGTATTTAGGTCTTTGATCCACACTGAGTTAATTTTTGTAGCTGCTGTGAGGTAAGGGTCCAACCTGCTTCCTTTGCATGTGGATATTCAGTTATTCCAACACCATTTGTTGAAAAGGTAATCCTCCCGAACCCCACCCTTGAACTGCAGCACTCTCATCTAAAACCAACTGCCTGTAAATATATGTGAGTTGATTTCTGGCCTCCTGATTCTATTCCACTGATCTGTACGTCTGTCCTTACGCCAGGAACATGCATTCTAGATTGTGGTGTTTTGAAGTCAGGAAGCAAGTCCACCAACTTCGTTCTTTTACAGGATGGTTTTGGCCATTCTTCATTCCTTACGTTTCCATATGAATTTTAGGATAGGCTTTTCCACTTCTGCAAAAGGGCCAGCTGACGTTCTGATGGGGACAGTGCTGAGTCTGCAGATCAGCTTGGGAGCAGTCATTGCAACAACGTTCCACCTTCTACACCATGAACACCGGAGGCTTCCACTTAAGTCTTCTTTAATTTCAAGTTTCAGTGATGTTTTATAGTTTTCTGTGTACATTCTGTTCCTTAAAATCTATTCCTATTTTATTCGTTTTGATGCCATTTGTAAGTGGACTTGTTTTAACTTCATTTTTAGATTGTTCATTGCTAGTGTATTGAAAAATGTGATTTTTGTATAGTGATCTTATATCCTGAAACCCTGCTAATTCATTCATTAGCTAATAGTTTTTGGTAGATTCTTTAGGATTCTCTCTACACAAGGTAATGCTGCCCGCAAATGAAGTCCGTTTTTCCCTTTTCCTGTCGGGTGTTACTTCTTTCTCGTGCCTGACGGCCCTGCTGAGAGCCTTCAGTACAATACTGAGCACGAGGGGCTGGAGGGGACAGCCCCTTGTCCTGTTCCTGTTTTTTCCCCAAATGAGAGACTTGGACATTTCTGTAATTTGAGGGAGAGGAATCAGTGGGGAATGAGGCATGCACAAGAGAGGGGAAACCTGACAGAGCGCTCCGGGGAAGACAGGCAGAAGGAAGGAAGGTCCCTCCTTCCAGAGACGGGAGGAAACAAAGAAAAAGAATACAGCCAAGTTTGGCATCCGAAGGGCACCCGAAGGCCTCCCTTCTCAGTGCAGTCACGCGGGGCTGGCGGGGAAGGGACGATGGGAACGTGCTGCTGTCCACAGGGGAAGACCAGCTGGTGGAAGGACTGCCCGCTGAGGGGACAGGCCAGGCCTCGTCTGTCTCCTTACCCTGCGATGCTGCACGGAGTGTCTTCTCGGCCTTTGGGTTCTCTCTCACTGTGCCTCTTCCCTGGCGTCATGGGGGCATAGCTGGAAACTGAAATAATACTGAAAATGTATTTAAAAAAGCTGAAGATCCCTTTCTTGGTCTTTTTTTTTTTAATATAATATGGTCTAGATTTATTTATTTATTTATTTATTTATTTATTTATTTATTTATTTATTTAAATGGAGGTACTGGGGATTGAACTCAAGACCTTTTGCATGCTACCCACGCGCTCTACCACGGAGCTATGCCCACACCCCTTTCTTGATCTTAACGCAGTCAGACCCATGACATCTGTTTCTTCTTCCAGAAATCGGGGTGACGACCACGCCAGTTACTTTTGCTTTGCTCCCCTTGACAGAAGACAGAACCGCGCCCCCCGCGTCCGATTTACAGCATCACTAGACTGAAGACGAAAGGTTACAGTGACGCCTCGTCCCCCACGCGCACACCTGACAAGCATGACCTTTGTGCTCAGAGCCCCCACCGGGCGTGAAGGAGCACCACAGGCAACGAAGCGGTTTGGGCAGATTTGGAGTTTATTTGTTGCGGTTCCTTGGCGCTCGTTTACAATGCAAAAAACAAACAAAAAAACCCCAAAAACCAACCGAACAAAAAACAAGTGGAATAATAATTATAATTTTTTAAAAACCCTGTCAACAACTTCCAGTTGTTTCTTTATATTTTGAGAAAACTTTTATTTTAAACAAATACAAAATAATCTGAAAAGAGAAAAACTATACACGGACTATTTACAGCTCTGATAAATAGGCTAACACTGGTCCAGGAGCCCATCTGTCTCAGGAACGTCCGTGAGAACCAGCGCTGGGACCCGCGTGCCACCGGGGCGCCAGCATCAGCCCCACCCAGGCCCTGACTTCTGCTGCCCAGCCCTGGTTCTCCTGCCCGGGAAGTTCAAGTTCCCAGCCTGGACCCTCTTCCGTCACCTTCACCAGCCCCGGCATGAAAAAGCCCAGTCATTCCAGGTCGGACCTACAGGAAGGGGGAACCCCAGGAGGCCGCCCCAATGCTGCTCCCACCACTCCCCTCACAAAAGCTATTTCCAGAGATGCGAGCTCGCCTGAAGGTGTCGGAGGAACTGGGGTCAGGCTGCTCGGCGACGCGGGGCTCTGCACTGCCCGGTCCTGGGCGATGTAGGGGAGCCACCTGCCCCGCCGGCCCTGGACGAGTCCCTGAGAGAACGGAGGAGAGCGCTCCATCACCGCTGTCAGGAGGCCGGCCTTCCCACCTCCGGCCCCGCCCGCCCTGCGCTGGTAAAGGCACCCTCCCCTCCAGAGGGCCCACCCGGAGATGCGCAGGAGGGTCCAGGTGAGGGCCAGTGCTGAGGCAGAAAAAGCTGAAGTCCTAAGGTGACCGGGTAAGACCTGCTCCCTCCTCTAAAACGAGGAATGGAGTTGGGGGGAGGAAGAAGGAAAACCAGATGAGAGACAGGTCATCCCGGGACCTCTGCTGGGATTACCTTCCTCACAGTTTTGGTTATTAGGTGCGAAGCTCAAGGGAAGATGCTATCTCCCTACTGTAAAGCCCAAGGAGACTGAGTTCCGCAAGAGCAAATGGGCAGCGTCCAGCCGGCACCCCTCCCCGCAGTGCTCCCCAGGCACGTGGGAGGGAGAAGTGGGGCGCCGCCCTGCAGGCCAGACTGCTTCCTCCACCCTCTCGCCACCCCCTGCCCCCCAGACGAGTTCCCACCTCCGCCAGACCCCACCAGCCCCCACTGGTCCCCACAAGCGTGGGGAGGCGGGCCTGCCCTGCCCCCGCCCTCGGGGGCCCCAGGGAGCTCCTTCTCCAGGGAGGAGGTCCTCAAAGCGGACCGGGCAGAACACAGCTGGACAGCTCTACTTTATCTTTTTCTTTTTTTAAAAAACAAAAATATATCTTTATAGTACGTGGCTTCTCTTCCATTCCACTTTTTTCCTTAACATGTAATAAGATACGGATACACGTATTTATGGTGCAGGGTTCAAGGCTTCTTCCCAGGAAATAACCGAGAGGTAAATGGTCGGCTCCAAGCTCTGCTATCAGACCTGCTCAAGGAGAGACTGGGGGGCTGTGGGCCAGCGGGAGCCCTGTTCCCGTTAGAGAGAAAGGCTCAAAACCCCCGCGCGACAGGCATCGAGTCTCTCTTCCAGCGGTAACTGCCCACCAATCTCCCACTTAAACAGCTAGCAGAAGCTGAAGCTAGTCTCTAGGAATTCAGGGCGATGCCTGGCAAGCTGCCCACGCTCAGCAGCCGCCCCCGACGTGTGGGAGGCGTGGAGGACAGGGCCTCCGCGCCGGGCCCCAGGCCGGGCACACCGGCTCCGTGTGCTGCACAGGCTCAGTGTCTCTTTGTGGACGAGACCTTCTTCTTCCGCGCAGCAAGCATCTCGTAGAAAGGGTCCCTGCTGATGGCCGCCCTGCAACACAGACGAGGGGAGAAAGCAGAGGAGAAAGAGAGGAGACTAAGGAACAGGACCAGGAGAGGCGACCCTGGGCAGGGGCCTCCCAGTGGCAGCCACGCCCAGACCCCTCCCCACTCGACTGTCCCTGCAAAGACCTAGTCGTGGTGTCAACCTTCACGTGTCCACACACGGCATAAGCTTTGAGAGACACGTGGTATGTGGGACAAGGTGACCGTGGGGTGTTTGCTGCCGCCTCAGCCTGGTGACTGATTGACTTTAGGGCGGCTGTGCACCCTCACCGCTGTGCTCTAACGCAGCAGCCCCCACGGGGCTTCAGTTCCGTAGAGGGCGGCCATGAGTGCCACACAACCCAGTGTGTCTCCCAGAAGCATCTGGCACGTGGTACGTTTGGGTGTTGACCACAGTCTGTACCAAGCAACCTGAGTCCCCGCGCCCACCAGTTTGAGAGCCAAGTGCACAGCCGGGCTGTCCCTGGGCCCCACCGACTGGCCGGAGGCCTGCTGTGTCCGCAGCGGGGCGGGGCTCAGGCCCCTGCTCCAGCGCGGGGCCTCCCACTCGCGCACCGGAGGAGCGGCGGAGCCGTGGGCACTGGAGCTGAGCGCGGCCCCCTGGGTCAAGAGGGCGCTCCCCGGGTCAGGAGGCTCCGGTCTAAAGACCGGCACCACGTCTGCGGTTGGGGACAACCTAATTCATCTCTCTGGGCCTTGTCCTCATCTGTCCAGCGGGGACACCCGTCCTGCTGCGCCGACCTTCACGGGCTCCGGTGAGGATTACGGACGCCGAGCCGGAGAGTGCCCGGAGCACCGTGTCTGGAGAGCCCAGCCGCTCCCGGCAGAGCAAGGAGCCGCCCCAAGGCGGGCGCCACAGTCCCCTCAACAGAGGGGCTGAACAACTCCAAGGGTGACCACAGAGTGCTGAGTTCCTCCAGCCACAGAAGCACTGCTTACATGGAGGACGGGAGGTACCAGCACAGACAAAACCGAGGTTGGGGGGCTACACGGGACCACGCGACGCTCCAGCGCCCTGGGTGGTACAGCCCACGCACGGAGACACAGGACATGTGGGGACCGGGCACGCACACTAGAGAGATCGGTGAGGGAAATGGATTCATCAACACATGATACCAGGCCAACCAGCCGTTCACTTGAGAAGATAAAGTTACATCCTTTACTTCAAACTATGTACAAAAAATAAATTTCATGAGGATTCAAGAGTCAAATTTCTTTTAAATGGTAAAAACAGCGTACAGGATCCGCAGGTGACGAGCGTCCATTCCTTAGCCTCTGTGGGCCTCGGTGTGCCGTCTGTAAAAGGGACAACAGTGTCGTGCAGGGTTAAGAAGTGAGAAGACGCAACGGCCCTGTCTCTGCTGAGCTGCCACCACGAAGACGGGACCAGCTTCCTGCGATGTGAGGAGGCCCGTCTGCAAGCAGTACCTGTGCCCACAAGCCTGCTCGTCTGCCCCTCTCTGGGTCTGTGCGCTGCACTGGGAGACCTGGATTTGAGGTGCTCTCTTAAAAGCACGGTGGTGGTCACGAATCAAGGAAGGCCCCTGGGGGGGCCACAGCCACTCAGCACAAGGGGCGGAGCGGGCCGAGCACGGGGGGGGGGCAGGGGCAGGGGCTGTCAGGCAGAATCCGGCCCCCACGCCCACGCGCCGCCTACCTGATGCACTTGATCCACTCCTCCTTCTCCTCGGGGGTCGGGGCCGAGATGCGGTACACCGTGTGGTTCCCCTCCACCACACGCCCGTCGGCCTCTGTCTTGCAGGCCTTGATCACTTGGTCTTTATTGTCTGGGATGTAGAGCTCAAAGCAGTTCTGGGACCAAAGAAGAGGGGAAAGCGTGACAAAGATGTGAGGAGGCTGCTGACAAAGAAAACGTGTTATTTCCTGAAAGACTCTTCATTCTGACCATCGTAAGATACAGACAACAGGCATTCCCTCTTTCCTGTGGAGAAGAGGGGCCGGGAATGCAGACTGTGTGCAAATGGGTCTCATCAGCAAAGACATCGGGCAGGTATGTGTGGAAAACATGGAGAGAACTGCAAGTTACCCAATGCCTTGTAAAGCCAAGCCAGCAACGCATACCCAGAACAAAGGAGGAGCGCATAGAAGGGGTGGGAGACTGTGAAGCACGCAGCCCAACCAGGCGTGCGTGCTGCCGCCTTCTGAGGAGGGATAATTCTACACCTTGTGATATTCAGTGACACTAAAGCAGGCGGACGGAATCAAAGAGGTCACTCAGTCTCGCCTTTGGCTTGAACTGTAAAGATGATTTTAAAAGTTAGACTAAATTCAATTCAATTCGCACTTTTTGTTTTTTTTTCTTGAGCACAGGTGACCCTTGAGTGACGCAGGGGTGGGGCACTGACTTCCAGACCATGCTGTCCATGGGTCAGCTGTCAACCCGTGCAGCTTCATTCCTCATCCAAGAGCTGCTGCTCCCACCCTGTCCATCCCCCCAGAACATCACACCAGAACACTCACTGGCTTCTTGGAGTCCTCCACCTCCCGGATACTCAGATTCTCTAAAGGGATGATTCCGCGTGGCTCCTTATCCTACAGGAGGGTTGGAGAGAGAGGATCCTGTTACATTCCTTACGGTGCCTCCCCGGGGACACTGAGTCCACAGACCAGCTCGAGGGTCCGCACCTTATGTTCTGAAACAAGAACAGGGTCCAGGAATGCGTGGGTGTCATCAAGGCACATGTCCGGGTCCCTGTAACCGAGGGGCCTCTGTGAGGAGAGTGCCTGGGGAGGCTCCGCCAATAGCCTGAGAGGTGAGCCTGGCAGGGGCCCTCCGGCGGGGAAGCTGCTAAGCCCCTTTCACACAAAATCATCTTGCCTCATTGCCTGGCTCACCTACCCGTCTTTTAAGCCTCAGTTCCAGCTCAGCGGCCTAGTGAGCCCCAGACTCACCCAGGCACCCTGCCCCGTGCCCCTGATGCCTGGAACTACAGCTGAGCCGCAGGTCATCACCCTCTCATTTCGTTTCTCCTCCCGACTCCAGGGTCCTCGGGGAGACACTGCCTGCCTGACAATGCCACCTCAACTGGAGAAAGCCCCTCAACTCCCGTCCAGAACAGAGTCCTGCATCCCCTCTCCCCTCCTGGCCCTCAGCTGCTCCCCGACTCAGCAGAGGCCACCCTGACACGCACCCCTGCACCTGCCAGACGTCGTCCGTCGGCCTTCACCCCTCCTCTCCCTGGTATCCAGACAGCCAGCGGCCAGCGACTCTGTTCCAAGTTCAACAGTTTCACTGGACTAAGCCTGGCGCCAAGCGCCGTAGGACAGTGTTCCCGAACCCCACGTGCGCTTTCGATCTGCGGGTCCAGGGGAGTGATCCTTTCAGGGCAGCAGTCTCGCAGGCTGTCTCGGCACTCGCAGGCGCCAGCTGCTCCGGTGCTAGGGTCGCCCTTCTGCCTTTTCCGGCACAACCTCTGTGACCGCCTCGGGGTCATGTCTCCGGCTAATCACTCCTTTGTCTCACCGCAGTTGTTAGTAAGTAAGGCATGATTCGACAACTATATAGTTATATCCTTAATGCACAGTTTGGGTTCTCGTTTGCATGAAGTCTGAACCCCCTGGCGGGGCCGGGTACTTGGTGTTCGGGCCACTCCCACAGCTGACGGGAGAGGCGGTGGAGGGGGCGCCCCTCAGACCAGCCTCCGGGGCTGCGGGCGGCCGGCACTCCCGGACACACCGCCCACCAGCGCTGCCGCTGCGGGCAGGCCTCTCAAAGGAGCGCACGGTCCGGAGCGTCTGCTGCTACTGCAGAAAGTGAGTCCTGGTTTTTCACTTTTCCCATTTCTCCGATTTCTAGCCAGCAGCAGACTTCGCTACTGCCCCCTCAGGGGAGGGAAAAGGGAAGAATTACTACTCAGTTTGCTTCTCCCAGACTCGCGGGCAAGGGGACGTCTGGGGCTCCAACTGTGACATGTACCGAGTGAGTTCTGCCCTTTCTTTATCTGGTTGCTACGTCCCCAACTTATTTCTAGTAGATTTTTCCTCTGTGTCCGGTAATTCCGTGTGGTGGTCTCCACCGATCACCTTGACCCAGGCGCCCCCCCGCACCTTCGGAAGCACTCTCTCTGGACACCTACTGCCTGATGAGACGCTGGTGCGCTGCTGGAATGAACTCAGGTGATGCCACCAAGGTCAGCGTCATGAAGAACCTTGGGATTCTGGGACCTCACCACACAGCCACAGGGACCGTCCCAGGACTCAGAGCTGAACTGCTTAGGGGCCCGCAGATGGTTCGTTTTAACCCCAAGAACAGTAAAAAAAAAAAAAAGACCTAAGAAAAATTTTAAAGATGTCACCAGCCTAGAAAAAAGGCAATACCTGGGGCAGAGATGGGGCACAACAGAAAGGAACCTAGCAGCTGTTCACAGGGGTACTCGGGCTGAGAAAGGAAGACTCTGCCTCTACAGTGTTTGGCGTATTTGAAATGCACGACTCTCAGATCTGAATGCATTTAGTAACAGAAAAGCAGAGCTTATGTGGCATGGGTTTAGCCCTGATAACACACAACATCCTGCTTCACATCCCCCGGAAAACTGCTGGACTGCAGGCTGGTAGGGCCCTGACCCTCCTCCCCCATGACACCCGCGGGCCGCGGACCCGCAGGGCTGAAACCCGCGCGGCGGGCCCCCGCTTCGCCCCTGGGTGGCAAAGGCCGACGTGGACCTGCGTCCTGGCTCCCACTGAGCTGTGCAGAGGTCTGTCCGCCTTTCTATGCCTTCATTAGGAAAGAGTCCAGGTCTTCGTTTTCTCAGTAGGATCTCAGCTGCCTTGGTCTATTTGAGACAAAGGCCCAGTGCTGCCAGCAGGACACGGTCTGCTCTCCAACGACCAGGGAGAAGGGCAGGAACAGCCCCTCCGGGGCTGACAGAGGAGCTCGGAAGGTTTTCTGGTTCCACTTCCATTCTCACAGGCTCATTACAGAAGAGACTTGTATGGAACACCTGTTTGCAGCTATAATTCCATTGCCACCGAATAAAAACCAACAAAACTTCCAGTTTAAGGAAAGTCAACTTCTTAAAGCTCCAGGTAATCTCTAACTTCCCCATTTCACTTCACTTTCTTTTCCTCTATTGTACACTTTGCCCCTTGGCTCTTCTTTCCGAGTCAAGATTCTTCAGCAATTCTGCTCCCACAATATGAGTTCTCCAGATCACCTTCATCTTCCTTTCAGTGGAGCCACAAACACTTCTCTGGCCACGGATCCAAGTTCATTCTTTCCAGCTCGGCCCTACGACTGGTTTCTAAGGCCAGGTATGATGTTATCTGCTGCCGTCTCCTGCCACACCTGCTATCCCGGTGGAGACAGAGTTGGCTCCGAGCCCGACACCTTGCACCACCCTCAGGCCCAGGCCTGAGACTCGTCGCAGCTCTTCCACGTCTGATCGGAGCCGTCCAGAAATGAGGCCCGGCCACCCGAGTCCCAGCCGACTGCCAGGCACACACTCACCGTCGTGTATTCAAAGTAGTAAAGGCAGTTGTCGGTCAGAATGAACCAGCGTCGTTTCCAGGTCTTTACCCTGCCGCCTGCGGAGCAAAGAGACAAGCTCGTCAGACAGGAGCCACCGGGTGCGCAGGCTCCGTGAGGCCCGAAGCTCTGCCCCCGGGGGGTGGGGGGAGCGGGGGCGGGGCGCCGGGAGAACACGGAGGCCGGGGCAAAACTTACATCAGTAACAAGACACAGAGCCAAAACAGAAGCACCTTTCACAGAGTGAAAGTCTGTGTACAAGCAGAGCAAGCAAGTCGGGTGGCACCCCAGAGATGACGTCAGGACAGCAGGGTGAGCATGGCGGGGGCAGGGGCCGGGGCGGCGATGGACTCAGAAGCGTCAGCAGAAGCCTATGGGTGCAGTGGACATGGGCGACACGGGAAGGAGGGGAGAGGGTCAGCCCCTGGTCCAAGCTAATCTGCCAGGCCCACCAGCCCAGGGCTCCACCCAGAGGGGCAGGAGGAGGAAATGGGAAGTAAAACATTTTCATCCCTCAAATTAAGTCCGGTTTTCCCGGAACAAGGAACTCAGGTTCTTGCGGTCTCACAACACCCTGTCACGCACTTCTGCACCCGCTATTTGAGGCTTCTGGGCCAGTGTCCTAAACTCCCCCAGAGCCCTAGGCGGGACAGCAGGACTCCTGGATCCGGGAAGAGCCCCCCGGGAAGCAGAGGTCCCTACTCAGTTCCGGACTTCTCACTGGAAGCTTGAAGCAAAACTAATCTGAGGGGGCGGCCACGGGCCAAGCGCGCTCTGACAGGGTGCCTGCGAGCTGGCGAAGCTCCCTCGGCTCTTTTCAATATTTCTCAGTAAAAAGAAACACTGGGGCCAGTCATGAAGGTATCCCAAGACGACATGAAGGAAGGGAGACTTAACTGTGACCTCAGTGAATGAAGGCACGTCCCGCTCTCAGTCTGACCGGGAGCTAGACTTCTCTTCTCCTTGAATCATACCGGGTCCAGGGCAAGCTTTCTGCATGTGAACCACAGGAAAGCTACCCGAAGGCCCTCACGCGGTGGCATATGCACAGTGTTTCACGAATACTTCTCGTGCTCTTGGACAGGACAAGCTCTTTTTGCTAAGATTTAACCCACAGAGAACATCACTTCTCCAACCTTCGTACAAAGCGAGGACCGATGGGTACAAACCTAGTGTGACCCAGTGGTGCCTTCCATCTGCCCCCAGCACAGCAGCTGAGCACGGGGAGGCCCGGCTGCCGGGGCACGGCTGTGTGCTCACACCAGGTTTCCTCAAAGGATGACTGCTGGATTCGTGGAGACAATGCATCCAGCATCAGGCCTGGCAGCAACTATAAGGTCTACTGGACTTTGGGCCCTTGCATGGCTCTGCTCAGGTGCCTGGAGTCTCAGGGAGCTCAGGGATTGGGCGTTACTTGCCAGGGTCTGTGTGGCACAGACCTAGTTAGGGAAGGAGGTCTGCCGCAAGCAAACGCGAGCCGCCCCGCCCGCCCTGCGCTGGTGTCCAGCAAGGACTGACTCTCTCCCCAACAGCGGTCGGTCAGTTTCCATGAGCACGTGCCTCTGGCCCCGTAAGGCCCCAGGGCGTGAATTAAGAAACCATGGATGGAAGTATGACATGCATGTGGAAACAGGAAAGGCTGGGCCCAATCAAAATAAATGAGGAGGAGAAAGAAGACAAGGAATGTATTTAGGACTGGAGCCAATTTGCTGTAAAAAGGAACCCCCTTCCCCATTTCAGAGTCTGAGGAGGCAGCTCTTCTGCCTCTTTCGCTCAGCACACAAGGACACCTCAACCCACACCCACCACCATGCGCTCCCCTCCCAGGACCGCCCTGGGGGCTCTCGGGGCTGGGGCGGGTCATGGAAGAGGGGTCAGATGCCAAGAGGAAGAAGATGAAATCTAGCAAAAGAGGCAAAGCTGGACAAGTTCTCTCCCTGATGACGAAAGCTCGGCTACTTCCCGATAACCTGCTGGTTAAGGAGGCCCCTGCCGTGAAGCATCACGTGGTCCCAGGGGGAACACTTCCATGTTGAAAGAAAAACAGACATGAAACAAGCAGACAGATCGATGCGCGCACCTAGGACAGTCCCTGTGGAACTCACAGGACCACCTCCCAGCCCCAGGGCCCCACCCCTTCAGGTGTACAGGCCAGACGCTGTCCT